TCACCCAGGGGCATGTTATACACCCTCACAATGTGCACATTAGATCCCCTCACCCAGGGGCATGTTATACACCCTCACAATGTGCACATTAGAGCTCCTCACCCAAGGGGCCTGTTATACACCCTCACAATGTGCACAAAACCAGCCCGAGCCAGCTAAACAGCAATGACAACTGCAACAAAAAACAGCCCAGCATTGTGGCAGGCAGCTGTAGTCCTCATGCCCTCCCTCCCTCTGCCATACTCCCCCTTCCCCTTCCTGCTTCCCTCTACCCCTAAACTGGACTGTAATAGTGTTGTTTGTTTGTTTGTTTGAGACAGTCTTACTGTGTCATCCTCAGTAGAGTGCTATCACATCACAGTTTACAGCAACCTCCAACTCTTCGGTTTACGCAATTCTCTTGCCTCTGCCTCCCAAGTAACTGGGACTACAGGTGCCTGCCACAATGCTGGGCTGTTTTTTGTTGCAGTTGTCATTGCTATTTAGCTGGCTCGGGCTGGTTTGGAATCTGTCAGCCTCAGTGTATGTGGCTGGCACCATAACCACTGTGCTACAGGCACCAAGCTGTATAATAGTGTTTTACTGTTCTTAGGAACGTGGAAACGGTTATATATTGACTTCATATTAGTATAGAGTACATTGGATATTCATCTTTCCATTCTTGTGATACTTTACTGAGAAGAATGTATTTCAACTCCATCCAGGTAAATGTAAAAGATGTAAAGTCTCCATCTTTTTAATGGCTGCATGATATTCCATGGTATACATTACCACAGCTGATCCATTCATGGGTGACAGGCACTTCAACCCAGGTTGCTTCCACAACTTGGCTATTATCAATTGAGCAGCTTTCTGATTTTAGTAGATGTAATGAGTTATGTAGGAGAATGTCTGTGTTTGTAGAAAGCACACACTCAAATACTCAGTTAATGGACAAGTCTCAGGCCATGGGATAGCACTGTGGCAATCTACTCTTCCATGGCTCAAGGGCGTACAAAAGTTCTTTGTGCCACTTTTACAACTTTTAAGTTTTAGTTGATGTCCTAATCAGGCATTTTTATGACAACTTTTTGTTATAATGTAGTTCAGACCCTGAGTTTTGGATTCAGCAAGATGTAACTTTAAATCTTAATCCTGCTACTTAATTTGACCCTGGGAAATGCAATCCCTCAGTTATTTTATCTATAAAATGGAGATAATCACATAGCTATCTCACAGGGATGTTCTAAATGGCAAGTAATATAATATGCTTGGCACAGTTGAAAGCAAGGATAAGGGGCTCAATAAATATGCTCTTGAGTCTGTAACAGTGTATAACACCTAAAAAAAACCTGACAATACAATTACTGTGATGCCCATGGACCCTGGGGGAACCCAGTTTTTGAAAAGTTAACTCTAATGGCGTTGAAACACATTCTTCTTAGTCAAGTATCACAAGAATGGAAAAGCAATGTACTCAACACTGGCCAGGTGTGGTGGTTCACACCTGTAATCCTAGCACTTTGGGAGCCCAAGGCAGGTGAATCCTTTGAGCCTAGGAATAAAAGACCAGCCTGAGAAAGACCCTGTCTCTACTAAAAATAGAAAAACTAGGCTCGGCACCCATAGCTCATTATTTATGGCTCTGGCCACATACATCGAGGCTGGCGGGGTCAAGCCTGGCCCACACAGGCCTGCTAAACAACAATGACAACTGCAATCAAGAAATAGCCAGGTGTTGTGGGGTCGGGGGGGGGGGGGTACCTGTAGTCCCAGCTACTTGGGAAACCTAGGCAAGAGAACTGCTTAAGCTCAAGAGTTTGAAGTTGCTGTGAGCTGTGATACCATGGCACTCTACCAAGGGCAACACAGTGAAACTCTGTCTCAAAAAAAAGAAAAACTAGCTGGGTGTTGTGGTGGGCAACTATTGTGTAGTCCCAGCTATTTGGGAGGCTGAGACAAGAGGATTGCTCAAGCCCAGGAGTTTGAGGTTGCTGAGCTATGACACCACAGCACTCAGGGCAACAGAGTGAGACTCTGTCTCAAAACAACAATTGACAAAAAAAAAAACCAAAAACAATGTACTCAATACTAATATGAAGCCAGGAGATGAACTAATACACACCCACACTAGAGAAAAACTCGATTAAGTTCAAATTGGAGTGGGAATTGGTGTGCTCCCACCTCCTGGGCACAATCTAAGTGTGTATGGTACACCTCCTGGGTGCAGAACACAGTAGGGCCTTTCTCCAACAAATGCAAACATTGTAACCTAATCTGTTTGTACCCTCATATTAATCCGAAATTTAAAAAAGAAGTTTTTTAATACTACTAAATAAAAATAAAACTATTTCAAAAGGTATGGCATTCCTGTCACTTCTTAAAGGCAAACAGTAAGGTTGTTCTTTTTTCTTTTTCTTTTTCTTTTTTTTTTTTTGTTTGAGACAGAATTTCACTCTGTTGTCTTAGGCGGAGTACTCTGGCCTCATAGCTCACAGCAACCTCAAACTCTTGGGCCCAGCAATCCTCTTGCCTCAGCCTCCCAAGTAGGTAGGACGACAGGCACCTGCCACACCACCTGGCTAGTTTTCCTATTTTTAGTAGAGACAGGGTCTCACTCCAGCTGAGTGAGAACCTCCTGGCCTCAAGCAATCCACAGGCCTCGGCCTCCCAGAGAGCTAGGGTTACAGTGCAAGTTCTTTACGACAAAGGAGAAAATCCCCCTTGTAACCCTTGACATTCATGGCCAAGTGGTGACAACACGGATGGGACAGCCCCTTGGATCACATCCCTGTCTCAGGCTTCCCAGCCTCCCCTGGGCCAGCAAACCAAAATTAGGTTTCTATTTTCCTACCTGGCAGGAAACCGAAACAAAGCCAACCCTGGCATGCCCTGGCCTGAGCCCCACAGGAGGGAGCCGCCCTTGCCAGCAGCACGGAGCTCACACTGCCTTCTCCAGGCGCCGACCTTCCAGACCGCCCCGGACTACTCCCACTTCAAAGTCTTACAGAATATCCCAGTTATCAAGTAGTGAATGTCTGTTATTCTTCCCCAAGGCCAGTTAAACACACACACATACAAATTAAGAAAATCCTCCAGCTCGGCGCCTGTGGCTCAAGCGGCTAAGGTGCCAGCCACATACACCTAAGGTGGCGGGTTCGAATCCCCAGCCCGGGCCCGCCAAACAACGATGGCTGCAACCAAAAAATGGCCAGGCGTTGTGGCGGGCGCCTGTAGTCCCAGCTACTTGGGAGGCTGAGGCAGGAGACTCGCTTGAGCCCAGGAGTTGGAGGTTGCTGTGAGCGTGATGCCATGGCACTCTGCCGACGGGGATAGCTTGAGGCTCCTCCGTCTCAAAAAAAAAAAGAAAGAAAGAAAAAAAGAAAATCCTCCAAGCCAACCATTTGTTTTCATGTATCATCTCTGAAAATATCCCTTTTTTTCCTCGGGTCCTTTTATTTTTATTTCAGTTATTTATAGATTTGTTGGCCAGTTTTTCTCTCCGACACTGTCGTTAGGTCCAGTATCCCTTCCCAGCAGCCGTCCTGCTTCCTGTCTGCCCTATGCTGCCCTCTCTCCCGTCTCAGCAGGGTCACCTCCTTTGTGGTGTGGCTGGAGATGGGTCCGGGTAGGCCCACATCACTTCACATTGTTCTGTCATCCTGAAGCTTACCGTAGGAGGATGCCAGCAGGACACCAGCACTAACTGCTGTGCCAATTTACGCACAATACAGAGTCTCAGGGCACAAGATGGAGTTTGTGACAGGAGGAAGCAGCCCTGCCTCCTGGTCCCCAGGGCTATGTCAGAATGTCCTGCATCTGCCAAACACTCAGAAGGCAGGAAGACTCATTCTCCCGCCCCACGCTGAGAAGGAATTCCTTTGTCTGTGTCCCACCCCCACTTCCCCTTTCCCAGGCCTTGAGAGCACCAGACAGGAGTATGAACATCAGCCCGAGCAATGACAGTGGGCGCTGACCTTACAGAATCTTTCCACATGTGGGAGCCCACTCCGTCCACGATGCTCCCACGGACCAGTGGCTGGGATTTCCTTACAGGGAGGTTTGCTACAAGCCAGGTCCCTGTAAATCTGGGCCCCAGAAGCTACGTGCATATTGCATTGATGGTAAAATGTGTACTTTTTGCACATTTTAACCTCTCTGTAATTAGGAGACATTTTATGACTGACAGCATGTCATTATTTTTTGTCAGCATTTTTACTTTCTTAGAGATACATGAAATAATGCTTCCAACAATTAGTGCCTTTTAGATTTGATGAAATGCATTAAATGCATTTGCATACAGGATCTCACAGCCCCAGAGGAAATGCTCCGAAGAGTATGTCCCAGGGCTCTCTCTCCCCAGCCACACACACCGTCACCAGAAGATAGAAGGCAGAGGGACAGGTGGCAAGGAGAGAGGGCCCTGGATTACCAAAGTAAATGCAGCAGCACATGGTTGCTTATGGGAAGCCTTCTTTATCCCCAAGACCACACTTAGGAATAGACGTCAGGCTCAGCCCAAAACTGCATGTACAAAGAAATGCTGAAAGTGTTTCCTTCCCTAAGAAGATAATGCTACATTAACTTACAGATATATCTGCAGGCTCAGCTGCATCTGTAGCAAAGCTTTTTATAGGCCTGATACTAGTTTATACTATGGATTCCTCTTTAATATATTCTCAGGTTTATCTCAGTCAGTTCACATTTATAAAACATTCCTTTCATGCTATGCACTGGGCAAGGTGCAAGGAATAAAAATACAAATAAACACATTGGGAGTCCCTGAGCTATTCAGACCAGCAACAAGTAGAAATGTAAGTAACTGAGACGGGTAATACATAATGGTATGAAACTACAGAAGACAGAGCAAATTCATTAAGGGAGGATTTTGAGAAAAGGGAGAACATTTAAGCCAGGGCAGAAACTGACCAGAAATAAAGGGAGCAGGCAGTGTACGAGCTGGACCACTGCACATGGCGGCCCCAGAAGGCGGAAGATGGCCCAGAGGAGAGACCAGTGAGGCAGAATGGAGCTGACAGAGAGAGCTTTACGTGCCAGCTTCTGCTTATCTGTCAGTTTTTAAAGACAGCAGTTACATGATAAGATCTGCTTTTTTGAAAGACAGTTTCACAGGGTCAGAAATAGCCCTGAGGTGAAACTCAGAATAGGAAAGGCTAAGAATAATGCATTCGAACACGGGAGTGATGTAGGCTTGAGCTATGCAGTGGGGAAGGCACAGAGATCAAAGCTCAACCAAGCTCTAATCAAAAGAGGAGAATAGTGGGGGCACATGACTGCCACCCTCCAGAGTCACTCCCATGCCCTCCAGTTGCCCTTACGTGGAGTCCAGCAGGGTCCCATCCAGAAGGGAGGCATTGTAGTGATACTTGAGGTAATCTCCCTTCTTACTCAGCACTGAGCAGTCCGGGGGCTTGTAGTGGGAGGTGATGCTGATGGAGTCCGCAGGGTTGTGGAAGTCGATCACGTGGATGTCAAACACCAGCACAGCCGAGCCGGGGATATTCCCTAAGGAACAGACAAGGGGAATTCATGATGAGCCCTCCAAGCTGCAGCACATGTTCCTTCCCAGGTCACCAACCACGTCCTCACAGCCCTCTAGTGAGAAATCCAGGTACCTGGATATGAACTCCTAGGAGACTGAAGCTAAATGGCCATAAGAAGTAACCTAATCCTTATGTTGTGGATGGAGAAATTGAATCCTGGATTTGCCCAAGGTCTTGAGGCTGCTTATGAGCACAGTTTGTACTAAAATTCAAGACTATGCACCATGGACTCATCAAGCCTGAGAGAAGAGTGAGTCAGCTGATCACTGATGAGCAAACTCCAGCCAGCCAGATTAAGGCTTGCCCCTCACCCAGCAGAAATGGGAGGCAGGATGAGAAATCGGCGGCAGAGTGGGAATCACGCAGTGCTCCTGTGCTCAAAAAAAGCAAAACATAACCTTCACAGAGGAAAAGACACAGCAACACGACTGAGCCCTGATGACCAAACACCTAACAGTCACGACATGCTTTTACAACGCATCCTATTCATTCTACGCAATATTACCAAGGCCTAGATTTGTCCAAGGTCTTGTTACTGGTCTCTCCTCTGAGCCCATCTTCTGCCTTCCAGGGCTGCCATGGGCACTGGTACAGGTTGGCCACTTTTCTTTTCTTTTCTTTTTTGAGACAGGGTCTTACTATGTCACCCTCGGTAGAGTGCTATGGTGTCACAGGTCACAGTAACCTCAAACTCTTGGGCTTAAGCGATTCTCTTGCCTCAGCCTCCCAAGTAGCTGGGACTACAGTCGCCCACCACAATGCCCAGCTATTTTTTGGTTGTAGTTGTCAACATTGCTTGGCAGGCCTGGGCCGGGTTTGAACCCGCAAGGTCCGGTGTATGTGGCTAGCACCCTAGCCACTGAGCTACAGGCACCAAGCCAGCACTTTACTTTTTTTTTCTTTGAGACATTGTCTCACTGTAGGCCTGGGTAGAGTGTCATAGTGTCAGCCTCACTCACAGCAACCTCAAACTCCTGGGCTCAAGAGATCTTCTTGCCTCAGCCTCCCGAGTATCTGGAACTACAGGCACCTGCCACAATGCCCAGCTAATTTTTCTTTTTCTTTTTGATAGAGACAGGGTCTCACTCTCGCTCAGGCTGATTTTGAACTCCTGAGCTTAAGCAATCCACCCACCTGGGCTCCTAGAGTGCTAGGATTGTAGTATTTAATGACAGCTTCTCAAGTGGTGGGGACACCTTATACAGATGCTCAGCTGTGAAACATAACCCCTAGGTCATTTCTGAATTTAAATGTAAAAAAAAAATTTTTCTTTTTTGGAGACAGAGTCTCATTCTGTCACTCTGGCTAAAGTGCAAGGGAGTTATCTTAGCTCACTACAACCTCAAACTCCTGAGCTCAACCAATCCTCCTGTCTCCTCAGCCTCTCCAGGAGCCAGGATGACAGGCATCTGACACTGCACCTAGTAGAAAAACTAGCAGTTTTTCTACTCTTTGTAGAAAATGAGGTCTCACTCAGGCTGGCCTCATAGTCCCGAGCTCAAACGATCCTCCCACCTTAGCCTCCCGGAGCACTAGGATTACAAGAATGAGCCACCAATCCCAGCCATGTAAAAACTTTTTAGATCATGTTGGACTCAAAGATATATAGTATTATCATCAGTATTTTACATATAGGAAAACCACCTTCGACTTGAGACCACTTGTTCAAGAAAATAACACAGCTACAAACAGATTTCAAATAGAGGTACGTGGATGCCAGCAGCCCCTCTGACCCCCATTCTCACCAGGTGCTTTCTTTTTTTTTTTTTTTGAGACAGAGCCTCAAGCTGTCCCCCTGGGTAGAGTGCCAGTGGCATCATGCTCACAGCAACCTCCAACTCCTGGGCTCAAGCGAGTCTCCTGCCTCAGCCTCCCAAGTAGCTGGGACCACAGGCACCCGCCACAACGCCCGGCTATTTTTTGGTTGCAGCTCTCATTGTTGTTTGGCGGGCCCGGGCTGGATTCAAACCCACCACCTTAAGTGTATGTGGCTGGTGCCTTAGCCGCTTGAGCCACAGGGGCCAAGCCCCAGGTGCTTTCCTGTATCTGTTTCTCAGTTGGTCTCTCCTCTCTCTTCTTCTGACACACACACACACACATACACGCACGTGCACACACACAAACACACTTTCTTAATGTATGTTTATTCAGCATTAGGCACTTTTTAAAGTGCTTTATATTTAATTCTCATTAAAATCATATATTCCCAATTTACAGATAAGGAAACTGAGGCACAAAACTTAGGGCGTATCCAAAGTTAAAGGTAATGAGAATTTTATGCTTTATAGCAGAGGGCAGGTGTCTGATATTCACTCGTGACAGGGAGCTGCTGCTGGAATATGGTGCAGGCTCCTTCCCACAGGACCCAGGAAGTGAGACTGCCATCAGCTAGAAGGCCGCTCTGAGCCAGGGCCGAGGGTGGCTCTGTGTGGGAAACTAACACATGTGATCGGGTGTGAGCAGCCATACAGCCAGATCAGTGATTTCACAGCCTAGGTAACCGATTAAAGTCACCTGAGAATTAACCTTGAAAACAGCATGCTAAGTGAAAGCAGATGGACACCTACTGTGGGATTCCACTGGCAAGGTGTGTCCAGAATAAGCAAACCCACAGAGACAGCAACTAGATTCCCACGCTCAGGTTGGGGGCTGCAGGGCTGGGTAGGGGTACTAAGAGCAACTGCTAATGGGTGAATGGTTATTTCTAGAAGTAATGAAAATCCTGGAATTAGATACTGGTAATAGTTACACTGTATTATTAATACACCAAAAACTAGGCTGGGTGTGGTGGCTCAGACCTGTAATCCTAGCACTCTGGGAGGCTGAGATGGGTGGATTGCTTGAGCACAGGAGTTCAAGGCCAGCCTGAGCAAGAGCAACACCCTGTCTCTACTAAAAATAGAGAAACCAGGCAGTGCCTGGAACTCAGTGGGTAGGGCACCAGCCCCACATACCAGGGGTGGAGGGTTTGAACCTGGCCCCAGCCAAACTGCAACAAAAAAATAGCCAGGCTATGTGGCAGGCACCTGTAGTCCCAGCTACTCAGGAGGCTGAGGCAAGAGACTCACCTAAGCCCAAGAGCTGGAGGTTGCTGTGAGCTGTGATGCCACAGCACTCTACTGAGGGCAATAAAGTGAGACTCTGTCTCTAAAAAAAAACATAGAAAAACTAAATGCTTGTTGTGGTGAACGCCTGTAGTCCCAGCTACTTGGGAGGCTGAAGCAAGAAGATTGCTCAAGCCTGGGAGTTTCAGGTTACTGTGAGATATTATGCCACAGCTCTCTACCCAAGGGGACAGAGTGAGACTATCTCAAAAAAAAAAAAAAAAAAACTAAACTAAACTATAAACTTTAAAATTATTAATTTTGGCTCAGTACCCATAGCTTGGTGGTTAGGGTGCTGGCCACATACACGGCGGCTGGCAGATTTGAACCTGGCCCAAGCCTGCTAAAACAACAA